GATAAGGATACAAAAATATTACTTATACTAAACTGAAATAAACAACAATAGGCACCCCGAATAAAGTGTCTTAATTCTAAATAAAACAAGAGAAGTGCGGGAAGCCTGTTGTGCCTAAACAACGGAGAAGTGGGGGAAAACATTATTTTCTGATGGCGGCACGTTTACGTAGCCCTCTCCCCTCCCCGCTCTTCAAGGCCAGTTCCTGCCGCCACTTCACCTCACAAATACTGGCAACGTGACTCTCCGTAGAATTTTAAGCCTAAAAAGCTTCGCAGTAAAGCCAACTTGCAAAACTACCATGCTGTCGATTTTGGTCCATTGATGTGCGTTTGATGATACCTAGAGAAAAGATCAAGAAGAAAGAAGAATTCTGCTTAAGCCAACGAAAAAAAAAAGTTAACATGGGGCAGAATCAAACAAAAGTAAGAAATAAAAAAAATGGCTGTTTCAATAAAGCGGGCTTGAGACTGGATAAATTCATATTTTGATGAAATTTAATAAAATATTATTTAGAGATTTTTTTTTTTGTGAAAACACATTAAATGAAAATGGTAAAAGTTGTGCGTGAGCTCTTAGTGAGCTTAACAGATATGGTAATTGTCTTCCTTTTTTTTACCGCAGGAGAACACATATTTTCTCCAACACGGATTTGAAATAATAAGAAAAGTAAAACGGTAGGTCAGTGATTCCGGACATAGGGAGGGGCTTAGTTTTCTCGTGACTGGGGCTTAGTTTTCTGCCTTTCGCACCCCCATGGTCTCAGCATCTGAAGAGCAGTGGGGTGGACTATTGCCGGCCTGTGCTCAGTGGGGTTTTGGGAAGCATTAAGAAACGGTGCGTACAGAAAGCGTGTGCTTACATTCTCCTCCTTTAACCTACGTTCTAATTATTTACCTAGAAGTGTCCTGGTGTTTTTAATTATCTCTAACTTCTATTTATGTCTAAAACTTGTATTCTATCGTTCACCAATGGCTCAACATAGGCTCGACTTGTTTGTAGCCAAGAGAATATTAATGTGGAAGCCGTATTTATTATTTATTTGTAACGTTCAACCAACTACCCTGTCTTACTAACTTCGTATACCACAAAGTTAGGCTAGTATATCTAGATGGTCCTAAATAAATTTTTATTTCAGGTTTGGTCAGATGCATGACGACTTCGACAGCTTCGCGATTCCGAAAGAATCAAGCATAAGCTCCAAAGACGCTTTTCTCTTCCTCCAGGAGAAAGAGCACTTCCAACGCTTCGCTGGAGAAGCACGATGCAGCGCATCAAGGATTCAAGAGGCACGAGACGGCACTCCCATTCAATGCGTCAGTTGAAAGGGTGTTGATCATCGTGTGGCAGTTGGCATATTCACAAAGAAACCCGGCAAGACGTCTGACGAAACTTTTGAGAGACAGCTCGTACCTACGATACTCAAAGCCAATAAAGTGTTACTGGCGGCAACGATAAGCACTTAAATTACCCTCTTTCCGTTTGTTTCTTGCTCACCGAGAGTAGTGTTGGGAGTAACGTCACAAAAGTAAGGGATTACATTTTGGTGGAACGGTCACTTACTTTTATGGAAGAGTAATTGAAACGGTAAATAATAACAAGTTAGTCTCGAGTAATTATAAATGTATTTCTTTACATTTTAGTAAAGTATGCAAGTCTGACCTCGTCTATGTTTGCTTCACGAGATTTATCACTCTAACCTAATACATTACCAGGCGCAATGTTTAGAATTGTCTGGCATATCAACACACTATTATCATCGATTAAAAGTAAGGATCCTTCGTTGCAGCCCATCTACTTTTAATACAGAAATAAGATTTGGATTGAAGGTGACCTCACTGGGGCGCCCAATGTTACTTGGTCAGAAGATGAATTTGCGTGTCAAGGCAATGAAATATCTGATGCGCTTTGTGACTTAGCGTTTTGTCGCTGCCTTCCACGTCATGTAAAGCATCCGGCACAGGTTACTGGAACATCTAGCACATTACTAGATGTTTTATTTGTTAGTAAACAGTTTGATGACTCTGCGGTTACAGCTTATGAAGGTATATCAGATCAAAAGTTTGTGGTTTTTCAATGTGCTTTCAATAAATCTCGCATTCATTTCTGTGACACTGCTGGACGGAAGCTACATTTTGATTACAAAAAGGCCGATGACGAATGGGTGCTATTCAACCTTGAACAACACCTAGATGGGTTCAACAATATTACAGATGTAAACTATTTGTGGCAAAACTTTAAATGTCTAGTTTACAAATGCTTTTCAAGCATTGTACCCCAAAAAGAAAAGAAAAAATTGGATGTCAGAACTTCTGGATAAAAAACGAAATACAGCAAGTAAAACGCAAACTTTAAAGGCTTCATAAGCGTGGTTTACCCACGATTATTGAGAAGTCTAGAGAATTGACAAATCGACTAAGGATGCTAAAAAACTAATTTTACATTATCACTGCCTGGATAATGTTATCATCGCCAGAAAGGTTCTGGTGTTACCTCGCGATGTCTAAAACCAATATAAGGCAGATGTCCTTCCATAAATGTATTGTGAGTCATTAGGCTAATGTGTAACGTGAATTTAATAAATTTTCTCAGTCAGTTTTCACAAGGGAATCAACAGAGCCATGCAGTACTCTAGGACGCGAGGGTTTGTTAAACGTAAACCACTTGATATGTGAGGACGGTTTTGTGTCATTACTCTTATCACTTCATGTTAGGAGAGCAACGGGACCAGATGATATAACTAACGCATTTCTTAAAAATACGCATATGGTCCGCGAAATACCTCACGTGCATATTTTTCAAATCAGTTGAAGATGCCTATCTGCCGGACGACTGGTTGATAGCTAGAATTGTTCCTTTCATAAAAGTGGCAGCAGTGATCCAATCAGAAATTATCACTCTATTTCTTTAACTTGAACGTCCACTAAATTGCTGGAGGATACTTTGAACAAGCAACTCGCTGCCTTCTTAGAACCAAGTTACACACTCGGTTTCAATCAACATGGTTTCCGCAGAAAACTGTTTACAACAACACAATTAGTCGATATTAATGATCGCCAAAAGGTGGGTGCTGTATTTGTTGACCTATGCAAGGTGAGGCAGCGGCGGGAGTGCCAAGTTCGGTGTGGCGTCGGGAGTGCGAAGCTCGGCGCTGCGCGTGTTGAAATGACCTGTCCTCTCAGCATCATCATCCCCCTAGCTGCGGGTAAAAGTTGACAACGTTAGGCCTAACATTAGGTTTAACTTTAGGGCTAACGTCAGACCAACGCATGCCCAAGCCCACCCTAACATCAAACAGTTGCGCATGCACAATGTTTGACGACGTCAGACCTCTAAGCGTAACGATAGCCCTAACGTTTGGCCTAACGTCAGGCCAGCGCCTACCCGCGTCCCCCCGTCCGGCTGCGCCGCCAGCAGTTCGCCTGGCTCCTTAGCAGCGATGACGCCATTGCTATGGAGCCACATGACGCGTCGCAGCCAATGGAAATTTAGGTGCCGTTTCGCTCAGCCTATATTAATTTAGGTGCCGTTTTTCGTTGCTACAGACAACGGCTGCAGACAACGCCGGCTTCACTCCATTACACAGTTAATGCTTTCGCATTAAAAATAATCGAAATTAAACGACACGGAAAGAAAGAACCGCCAAGGCAAAAATAGGAAATGAATTAGACACTAAGGATGGAGCCTCTACACAAAGCCCCTGCTCATGTTTTGGTAATGGCAAATTTCTTTTTTACAGCGGAGCCCTTAAGGACTAGTTCCTCTAGGGTCGTGTCCGTGGACAAATTAATCTTGACACAACACTCTGGACAGCTACCGCCATCTTTGAGCGACGGCGGCAACCAAACAACAGGCTTGCCGGTTGTCTGGTTGCCGCCGTAGCTCATAAATAGCGGCAACCTTTCTTTGGGGGGAGAAGAGCGGGAACGGAAGGAGCGGCGACGTGCGCAGCAGGGCGAATGGTTCCGCAACCGCCACGAAGCAGTTTTCGCCTCAAGTTCCACTGCGTCGAGCGCTTCAGATTCCCTTGCGAAAGAAGAGCAGATCGCTCGCGTGGAAGGCCACCGCCGAGGACAGGGCTACAGCTTTGCTGCTCTTCCTTTTTCACCTGAGTGGAAAGGCTGAAAGTTTTTCTTCTTCTTTCTAAGCATTTTGAGGAAGGTTAGGTCTCAAATAGTTTTCGGCGAGCCAACCCGTTATCCACATACAAAAGTAAAATGCAATGCTCTTGAAAAAGAAAGAATCTGTTGCTAACTATCGTGCACTCGCGCGAGGCGTGACTTATTGCGTTACGCTTCTTGGTTCGTGATTGGTTCCTTGGCGTTCTTACCGGCGGTTGCGCTTTCTGATTTGATGCGGAGCCTCAATGAAATTACGGTGCCTGAAACGCGTTTCCGAGTGGTGTATTTAGCGTCCTACGCCGCCCATACATCAAAAGTGTTCCCGCAGTGGCAACAAATAATGTAACAGAAGCCGGAGTCTTACGCTGTCGGAGGTAGCGATTATGGCGGTTGACCTTAGAAATTCTGGAGAAAAGAATGAGCGAAAGCGAGTCTCGCTGTGGTCGCGGCGTCCCAACTTCTGGCTGCTGAAGCTTCCGTGCACTGTCACACCAGAGGGCGACCTCCAGCAGAACAGGCGTCTGCCACATACATTACCTCTGTTGGGACGCCGCCAGGATCATGACCGGCGAAAGCTTGATAGTTCTTTGACGTCATCTGGCAGACACCGAGGGACCACTTTTTGGGCGCGGTGAACACACCAGTCAGAGACGCGTTCCAGAAATTATAATAAAAATAATAGAGATTCCCCGCACCCTGCCTTTCTTAAGCTGCCATTGACTTTAGCAAGTTGTTTAAATTTGAGTAGCAAAATACACTGAAAAAAGCGCAATAAAGGAGAGAGCAGAAAACAAAAGGCGTCTTCTGCTTCTCATTTGTATGATTTATTTTTTCACAATAGTTCGATAATGTCAGGCGCCTCTGTATTATCAGCCTTACCTTTCTTCACTCTCGGTGACAGTATAGCTGTACCCAGCTCCTCTGCAGAAAAGCTGTAAAAGAAAGCATATGATAAACGCATTTCTTTACAGGCTAGGAGCTCGTACCCTTCCGTTTTCGTTCTTCCTTTATGTATAAAACCCGGCCGCATAAATATACTCTAGGATATCTATCACACGTTTATTGTGGGATAGAGAAATTAAAGAATCTTAAGAGCAAGTTCTATCTCATGCGCTGGAAGAACTTCAAGTAACCTGATTGGTGCCATCGTCGAAAGAAAACGTTACATTGAGTTTAATTCACAGTGTTCAACTTGCAAGCAGTGCAGGCAATCGTGTTCAGTATTGTAACTTCCAAAACCAGTCCCTACTTTTACTACTGATGAATGTTAATGACGGTCAATATTTTCGTCTATCTTTTGTAATTAGTTTCTGGTGCCGGCGAGCCGTATTCGCTTGTCGTAACGTTTTGTTTAGTGCGATTGTCTTGTTATATTTACTGCGATTTACCATTTTTGACACCTGTCTTTTTTTATATACACAGCCATATACTGTATTAGGCCCCTTCTATTATAGTCCCACAAACTAGTAAACGCATTTTTAAATAAAAAAGGAAATATTATAACTCGACAAATGTTGCGCCTTTCACGCGTAAAATTATAGTTTCCCCGGTGGTTTTTTTTTTTTTTTTTTTTCTTTCTTTGAAACTTGAAACGTAATAGCTCAACTTCTAGACCGGTATCGAGGAGTCCTCGTGTTTTTTTTTTTTTCGCATGCCTGAAATATATATTAGAAAGCTACGCTCTTTCTTTCGTGACGCGCAGTGATCTGGCATTTATCCCAAAAGCGAAGGAGCTTTAACCATGTTGAATTAACCTGAAACTGGGGTAGAGAGGAAAAATCAAAACGTAAAAAGGACAGAAAATAGACAGGGCAAAGACTCAAACTCAGCTCATGGTTGATATTACCAGCTCTCCTGTACCCTTTTGATTTTTTTCTACGAAGGAGTAAGCTGTTCTTGTACACGTTGTGTGCCAGACAATGACGGCGCGTGTGGCTCCGTTGGGAGGACAGTAGGGGAAGTTTGCAGCTGTCAAGCGATCTGGGGAATCTACAGCGACAGGTTTCTTGTGCCAATCGGACGCCAAGGCTGTTTCATGTGATGTACAGTAGGTGGCAACATTAGTTGGCTTCACCGATCTCCAGCAGACGGTCTAAAAGTTCTCAAGGTCCGATGCCGGCATTCTAAGCCAGTGAATGGACGGTCGTAATTGTTCGTTCCATGGATATCAGGTTGAATATATTGGAAAAATGTATGCCCTTGAACCATAACGTTTTTATACCCAATACGCGGTAGTGTTTCTATGTTCGCTCGACATCTTTTGTTGTGTGATGGATTGTAAAGGTCGCAAGCATTGGCAACGAAGAAGAGCATGGCTGGAGGTGGACATTCAAATATGAAGGCCAGTATTCGTAGTTAAAACAAGCCTGCACTTGAGCAGTACACTCGTGGGAGCCCAAGACATATACCCACGGAGGATGATCTGCAGCGTCTTCGAGGGAGACAAATACAGAGTACTGCTCAAAAGTCTGTTCTAAACAAATACATTGCCGATGATGCTTCTAAAGTTCAAAGTAAAAATAAGGCTTTCAGTTAACTATCCTGGAGAACACAGAGACAGTCAATCACTGATAACACAACAGGCTTTCGCGCTCATAATATTCGAAGTGCCAAATTTTAGAGCGCAGCTCTTAGGGGCCCGTGCCCGGCTTGATCGGCGTCGGCGTAACCAAGGTCATCCCAAGGTCACGTGACCCCTCCCAAGGTCATATCAAGGTCACGTGGGGTCATCTTGGGGTCACGTGACCCCTCCATGTCACGTGACCCCTCCCAAGGTCATCTCAAGGTCACGTGACCCCAAGATGACCCCACGTGACCCTTTGAAGGTCACGTGACCCCCAAGGTCATGTGACCCCAGGTCACGTGTCCCCTCTGAAGTTGGGGACTTTGGGGAGGAGACCTTGGGGAGGAGACCACGTGACCCCCGAGGTCACGTGGTCTCCTCCCCAAGGTCACGTGACCCCTCCAGGTCACGTGACCCCCAATGTCACGTGACCCCCTGAGGTCACGTGACCCGTCCCAAAGTAGTCTCAAGGTCACGTGACCCCAAGGTGACCCCCACGTGACCCCCCAGGTCACGTGACCCCTCTAAGGTCACTTGACCCCCGAGGTCATGTGGTCTCTTCCCCAAGGTCACGTGACCCCCCGAGGTCACGTGGGGGTCACCTTGGGGGTCGCGTGACCTTGAGGTGACCCCCACGTGACACCCAAGGTCACGTGACCCCCAGGTCACGCCTCCCCGAGGTCACGTGACCCCCCTCGGAGCATATTAAAGAATGAGGGGAGGAGGAGGAGAAGGAGGAGGGGTCTACCCTTCCCTCAGTACCCTTCACTCCTCCTCCTCAAGAGCTGCGCTCCAATTCGGCGTTACAGGGATTTGTAAACGGCTTTCACTTTTTAATCCGAACGTCCCCGAATTTAATCCAGCTGTACACCAATTTAATCCAAATGCCCATGGGTTCAATCTGAGTTGTCAACAATTTCATCCCAACGTCATTCATCTTAATTCGAGAGTCACTGAATTCAATCCGTTCATATCTGTGAATTACCTATGACTACAAAACTCATATGTTAAAACCGTTTTAGAGGTCTAAGTTGCTTGCAAGTCACGAATGACTTTTTCACTCTATATGCGCTTTGCGTGACTGGTTCTCTCGTGTATTTAGAGGGATTTCCTCGACCTAATACGTAAGCTCGAGGTGACTGATGGAGTTGTTTCGTCGATTTTAGAATGGTGACGAAAATTTTCAAGAGGCTTGACAGTGAAACCCTGTTTCACTTTCAAGCCCGTGTGAGCCGCCCTATTATTCGAGGCACGCTCAATTCAGCTCTGTGGAAGAAGGTAACGTAGAAAAGTTTCGAAATAGTGACCAACTCGACACTGAACCCGCGCGACGTGGACCGTTACACTCCGTTTCACAATGTGCCCGACCTCAGCCAACGCGACGATCCGAGGGTGTCAATCGAACAGCGCCAAAATTAAATGCTTCGTCATGGCGCTCGTCCTCTTTGTGCGTTTTTTCTCCCCGGTTAAACCAATTACGCACCTAAAAATCGCAGTATCATGGGACATTTACTGTGCCTGACTGGTTTATCCGAGAATGGGCGAACGCGCAAGACTACTTGCGCCATGACGATGTGCTCTTACCGCCGCTCGTTTGGCTTAAATTTCCCAGATAAGAGCTTCCTACAAGTAGCGGAATGCTTTGAAGGGTCGACTACGTGACGGTGCAGGTTTTAGGAAAGAAGCGAATGGCGGCGCACAGCAGAGGGTTGAACTGGATGCCGCCACTTTGTTTCGGCGGAATGTGCTTTGTCATTTATATTGATTGTTGTTATTTGTAAAAGAAGTATCAAGGGGCATAGTTTGACTCCGTCTAATTGTACCGTTGGCTGAGGAAGGACCTAATGTAAAACAGGGTGTGGTTGTTTCAGGCTCCGGGACAGTCTATGACCCAAAACTTCCTACTCCGCACAGCCAACCTGGGACGGCGGGACCACGTGGGGACGCAGCGAGGACAGCGATGACTGCTCCCCACTCTCCAGATGGGAAGCTTCCGAATATTATACCTGGCGCTCTTCTGGCTGAAGGCCTTCACTGTTTTGCCGAATTACTTGCTCAATTGTTGCACAGAGCGAAAGCTTTAACCGAGGTCGCTACACCGCACCCCTTACGTTGCCATTCGTTATGCATGATAATCCACGTGTGATTCACTTTTATACGGCAAGTTTTGCCATGTTCGTGTCTGCCAACGTCCCGAGGACTGAAGACGATCTTTGGTCCAACGAAAAATTATAAACCGATAGACTGCATATTGTTGTGAAAAGGGACGTGTATAAGTTTGGATTATACAGACTCCAGCCTGCAGTTAAGTGTGTCTTAGCGTTTCTAGATGTTTTGCCTAGTTCTTTTAACGTCTTGTAGTCACAAACAGCATTGTTACATACACAATGGATTCCACTTAGGCTTGCTTCGTTACGTTTGTTGTTTGCCATTATTTTGTAAACAGCACGGCGCCAGGTGTCAACAGACGTTCTGACGCAATGTCGGAGCTAAACTTATATAAAACGTTGCAGACTGCATTGTTTCAAGTAAAATTCATAATGATCTTGACTTCAAGCAGTTGCTTTGCAGCTTCTGATTGTTTTCAAGTGAGTTACTTTTGAAGTTATTTTAATGGATTCTGATATTCAGTAATTATACGCACCTGTCCATAACTGTAGTAGAAGAGTTTCTCTGAAGAATTAAACTGGTCACCTGGGAGGGCGTAGTCCACATTCTCGTCCTTTACTGCTTCAACGTACGCCTGTTGTTTGGTTAAAATATTACATAAAATAAACATTTTTAATGCTAAATATTTGTGTTTGAGAACTTTAAGGGCTCGGGGCATGGTTTAACAACGCAAAAACAAACAAAACGGAGGAGAAAAACTATATCATATAAAAGAATCAACTGGCCCACTTTCGAATCTATTGAAGGGCACATAACTTTTTATAAAAGTATAAACGCCTGCTAATAAAAATAATAATTATTATATGCTTCAAATGGTCATGCCTGTAAACTTTCATGTATTCATTTCTTGGTTTCTTTGTGTCGTTTTCTTTCGGACGGGGTTTCAAAAAAGTGCCAGTTCAAAAGGCCAGTCAAGCCTGACAAGGCACTTCTTCCTTACAGTTCGAAATAGAAAGCACTCTTCCGCCGAAACACCCCGACAAAAACAAACCCAACAACAAAAAATATGCACAAAAATACCCATAAACTAGATGATCTTAGGAAGTACATAACAAGGTATGACTGTACAATATACGCATGTGAAACACAGGAATCGGCGCTGAATATTAACATGGCCAGACATCTGTGACAGGCGCCTCTAGTACACTTATCTGTCCCCACATGGTGTACTAACCTTTAACTTTTACGCCGTGTGCAAATCCGTGCCGAAGCAGAGTGTGTGCCAAGTGAAGAAACAAAAAAAAGCAAAAAAACAACAACAACAACAGTATTTTCAAAGGTAAAAAAGGAGAAGATAATGAGTTTGTTGCGGTTGAAGCATAGTGATACCTTTATCATTATCCCTTAACCTCTTCAAGGCGATTGGAGGAAGAATATCGGAGCTTCTAAACCACTTTGCAGAAGTCATCGCACGCATTTCTATAGTTCTTACAGTTTCCTTGGAGCGCGATATAGTTAAGTACTTACAGGTATAACTCTGTTAGGTTAGGTAAGTGCAGGGCGTGGAGCGTATGCTGTTATTGGTAATTGATTCCGCACAGGACGTATCTCAGGATGGATTGTCAGCTGATGTATTTGAGGCACATAATTGTTTACGCGTTTATTTATATCCACGTTCCGCCTGGTGCAATGTTGTCACCAAAAACAAGAGTAGATTAATTGAGAACAAAAAATAAACGTTTGATGGGGCGAACATGTACCTACAAGTCTAAAGAGAAAGCTGCCACACATCTTGCGTCGGTGACGGAAAGGTGAATGAACCGAAGCAGCGCGTTGCCGCTATTTTCACGTACGTGGCACGTTCATGAATGCTCTAAACAAGAACACTCGATGACAGCCGTGAATGGGCTAGTATATCTTAGAATAGTAGGAAATTGATAAAATAGTAATCCGGGCCGAGCGGAATCGCAACCCCCTTAATTCCTCGCCGTGACAGCCGCATGCGTTGCAAACTCCGCCACGCACGCGGCTATATTTTTTTTTTTTACCATGACAAAACGCGGTGAAACGCAATCGGGATAAAACACTAAAAACACAATCCATCTTGGCTATTGTCAAGCGTGCTACACGTATTTGAGGGTAAACACCTCAAGAATTTGCAGCCACTCAGGTGTAGGTTTGCCGGTCCTCATACATTTTTTTTTAAAGCACATGTGTTCAACTATGTACTTTGTATGTACGGAGCGAACATCGATATCTGCGAGCATTACAGCATGCGCCAACGCCTTATGTTGTGCAGGCCCAGAGGGGAAAGTGTGTCGGGGAACGTCATTCTCCCCTTCTACCGCTCAAAAGTTTGGGCCATGGGGCGTTAACGGGAAATCTTTTTAAGGGACCTTTGCATGACGTCCCCCCCCCAAAAAAAAACCGCCTCGCAAAAGTCTAGGAAAACTTGGTCAACCGTTCTCAAATTTTTGTACGGTATGCAGTTGTTACACCACGCTACTGCATGGGATACTTCTTCAACTAACCAGGCTTGAACTAGTGGTTTGACTATGCAACTTTAAAAAAAAATGTATTTGTGTTACGCGGGGAGGGGCACCATTCGCTTCACTCGCTTTATGATATCCTACCTTGGGCCTGGACTGTACAAAGACGATACAAAGTCGACAGTTGGGCTAGTTGGTTTTGGTTATATATAATGACAAATACTCAGCGCAAAAGGACAAAAAGGGAAGTGACACATCGGATAGAACACAGCGCTCTTTCCTATCCGGTGTGTCTCTTCCCTTTTTTCCCTTTTGCGCTGTGTATTTGTCATTATGTATAACGATACAAAGGAATTGTAAAAAGAAAATAAATTAAATATTTTGTTTGTTTCTGGCGGGACAGACAACAGCACCAGATAAATATTCATGTGAGGAACGCGTGGCAAAAAACCAATATGCACCAACTTCTTTAATATACATCCTTGGTTGACGAAAAAATATAACTCAGGAAGCGCTGCACGCAATCTCACATGAATAACGGTTTGTAAAAACGAATATCTTTGGTCCCAGACAAAATGTGTCTATGAACAAATTGTCTCATGGACAGATGAGGAACTCCACCCTCCCCCCGGTCTTCACTCTATTAATCAGGTTTTGTACGTCTCGTGCGTTTCCAAAACGAGCACCAAATAGAAACAGAAAGAACCCGTTGCATACGTTGTATGGTTTTACTCGTGAGCAATGAAGCACCTGCAAATTATACCATGAATTTACGGCAAGAAACGCATTGCAAGCCGACGCACGGGCAAAAATAGACAAACCAAAACATGCCAACTTGTTCGCTTTTGAGCCCAGATCTTCAACCTGACCGCCCAATAGTCGTCATTATTGCGGTAGTGTTCCAGAGAAGCTCCGAGATAACGGGGCGGTGACTCAATTCCTGCAACACGTTTAAAAGCAGTCGGCATTTAAGGCTAATCGCCGTGCCAGAGACCCAAAGACCTATCCCAGTTGATGAAGCTGCTCCCATTTTCGAAAAACATCTCTGTAAGCTCGACGGCTTTTTCTCCACTCTCAAAGTCTTCGCAAAAAGAAAAACAAAAATCACCACGTCATCCGCGCATTCTAAAATACGCATTTCAGTAGCTTCCAACTTGAAACCACTAATAAAACCATTCTGAATAATATTTAGAAAATATGGCTCAAGGAAAGTACCAAAAAACAAAGGCAAAAGTGGACAGCCTTGTCTCACCAAAGAGAAAAGGCGAGTATGTTCGCTTACACGCTTGCTTACAACAAAACTAGTGGCGCAGTTTTGGTACGCCTTGCGTACACCATCGCACAATACACACCCCAGGTTAACATGTGCTAATATAAAAAAAAAGAAATTGTGTGACACGCGGTCGACCGCGTTTTCATGGTCGACCTGCAACATGGCAACTCTTGGCACAAAATAGTCAGAACGCATCAGACTGCTCCGGGTGACATGCGCACATGTTACAGTGCTCCTCTCATTTGTTCCACACGTCGGGTAAGGGTCGACGATGACGTCTATAACACCCTGCATACGCCCCTCTCAATCCGTCATTTGTATCTTATAGTCTACGTTAATGAGTGTGGTCCGACGGTACGATCCAATAAAATAAAGTTTTGAGAGGTACTCCCTTTTGATTATAAAAATCGTGAATATACAAAAATGACGGGGGTAATTTTTTACGTACGTATGCTTCACTAAATAGGCAGTGCAAGAAAGGAGCTCCCTAAACGCTTTGTAAAACACAGCGCCCAGACTGTCTGGTCCAGGAGCCTTGCCCGGCTTCAAATTGTCATTCGTCTTCCGGTAACGTGAGGGGTTGTTCTAACGACGAAAAGGCAGACAGCGCACAGTAAACGGGGACTAAACGAAATGCAAACAGGACAAGCACTGACCCTCAACTGAAATTTAATCCCATGAAAACAAAGCAAACAGAAACTTCGCCCACGTCACTTGATACATTCACCACGTGTCCCCCCCCCCCCAAAAAAAAAAACAAAAAAAAAAACAAAAAAACAATCTGTTTACTACTTAAGCCCAGTGACTTTTGGCTTACGCAGTTCGCGACTGCTTTGATAATTGCATGCGCCTCTAAAATTTCTCTATTCACTCTGTCTCTTCCATGGCCAATGATACCAGTCTTACTGAAGATAGGTTCGCGCCCACATCCATGACAATGCAATGGCGGATGCCCCCCTACAGCTACCACCACTGATCGCAACGACAAGTCATGCTCCCGCAGTCTGTGATTAACGCATCTGCCCGTCTGACCGACGTAGGCTTTCCCACACGCTAGTGGAATCGTGTAAACAACTGCCACCTTGCAAACAACATATTGATTCTCATGCTTCACCGAGCAAGCGGGGTCTTTTTCCTTCTTATCGGCAACTCTCGCGCATTGTTGCGCCAGCTTACACGGAGCGGAAAACACCAATGGCACATCGCACCTCAAGGCAAGTTCTTTCAAGCTGTGTGAAATTTTATGGAGATAAGGTATTACGAGTGGTCTCTTATTTGGCCTTTGCCTCCGGGGACGGGGTTCCCCCCCGAGTTTCTTTAATAAGCCCTCCGCAACGCTCAATAAATTCGAAGTTGGGAAACGCGCCACGGTCAGTCTCTCAACCTGCCGGGAAAAACTATCGTTAACCACGTGATGACATGACTTCTCGGGTGCAGCTTGTAGGCAAGACAAGGCAATGCTTAGAGTGTGATGAATCATATGGAAGAAGACCCTTCTTTGAGCGTGGGTGATAAGACCAGCAAACGTGTTTAGCAATGAATTCTAATCTCAAATCCAAAAATGGTAGGTAAGCCCCATACTGAAGTTCGTGAGTGAAAGTGAGCCCCTCCGAATGATGTGCGAAAACTTCTAAAACTGACCTCACGACATCTGTCTCACATATTCCCTCCAACCTAATAAACACAATTAAAGCAAACACTTTACAAACGCGCTCGTCATCCAGTTTTTTCAGAAATGGCCCAATCGCAATTGGCTAAAAAAATATCACAAAGCACAGGCGCCACAGACGAACCGATACAAATTCATTTTTTCTGAACGTGAAGCTTACCGTTAAATAGGATAAAAGTTGACTCCAGATAAAACTTGAGAAG